GGTGTCGCAGGCCGCCGCGGAGCTCTTGGCTTTCTGCGAGACGCACGCCAAAGACGACCCGCTGGTGACGCCGGTACCCGCCGCCGAGAACCCCTTCCGCGACAAGCGCCTCTTTTGCGTCCTGCTCTGAGCCCTTATGGCGGGTTACCCTCCCCTGGCCAAGTGCGAATCCAATAAACCTGGTGACTGTGGTGCTGCCTGTGCTTTGGGGGAAACTGAGGCATGCACCGAGCCGTGGGGAACCTGGGTCCTTCCGCCTGCGTGTGGGGTGTGAGGGGGTGTGGGTGCGGACGAACACAACTCCGCCAGGGCTTTGTCCCCGGCCGAACACTCCGACACCCCATTCTGAACTTAGCAATCGCCCCACAGCCGCAGAGAGCAGCGCTCTGCTGGTCTGACTGCCACTTCAGAGTCCCTGTTCAGCCGCCCAGCTCGGGACAGGGCGAGGACCCGAGACGCCAGCCTCCGCGGGCCTCTCCTCCCCTCGCTCCTCAGGGTGAAGATTCTTAGGAGACTCAGTGCTCCCTCCAGCTGCCTGTTTATCCCCGGAATGACTCCACCCCCACTGGCTCCACCTCCGCTCCCACCCTGTTTTTCAGAGAGATTTTTGCTGTAAGGCATGTGTGCTTGCTGGAGAGATAGAGTCAGAAAGTGAGAAATCCCCCCCCAGGGAGGATGGCCACACTGCAGTTCCTTCTCCTCCATTCTCCACTTGGGATTTGGGGCACACATGCACACGCGCCTGGAGTGGGTCTCAAGCCTTCGGGTCTCGGACTGGAACTGTGGTTTGCCCTGTGGGAGTCCAGCGACATAGCCATTACACCATCTGCTGGTTCCCCACCCCACCCTTTTTTTAAAAAAATTTGTCAAGGAGCCAGCAGGTGGCGTGATAAGGCACTGGACTCCCACATGGCCAAGGTCATTTGACTCCTGGACTTGTCAACTTGAAAGTCACACCAGGTGTGTGTGCATGTGTACCCCAAATCCCCGGATGAGAATGGAGAAGGGATTGTGGCATGGCGATTTCTCACTGTCCTGCCTCTCTCTCTCTCTGGGGAGTGCACACAGGCTACAGCAAAAATCTAAAAAAAAAAAATTTTCAGTGCGCATTATGAAAGAGGGAGGGAGAGGGAGGAGAAGCGCCCCCATGGGGTTGGTCCTGGCACTGTCCCTTCTCCTGTTAGCGTGTGGGGTATGCCCACGTGCGCATGCCTGGTGTGGATTCAGGGTCAGCCATGTAGGACAGGCCCACTTCTGTCCTCAAGCCCTGAGCTTCTCTTGGTTCATTCACTCATTCTTCCAGATGCTCCATGACTGGCCACGTGCTGGGCAATGTGGGAGACATGGCCGTGACCAAGGTTACCCTGGCTCTACCTTCCTGGGGCTCAGAGTCCAGTAAGAGAGGCAGACATGTCCCCAGATGATGACAGCTTAGAGCAGGCAGGGGTGGAGTAGGGGAACTCAAAGGGAACACCTGACTCAGATTGGGATCAGGGAGGACTTCCTAGAGGAGGGGACATCTGAGCTGGGTTGTGAGGACTTCCTAGAGGAGGGGACATCTGAGTTGTGGAGAAAAGTATGGTTAGAGAAAGGGAAAGGATTCTCTGGAATCAAAACACCTTGTGACCCACTGGGGCCCAGGGCTATGAGACTGGGTCCCACTGTGCCCCACTGTCCCCTGCTCAGGATGACTCAGGGCCAGCTGCTGTGTATCACAGAGCCTGGTTGTGTTGGGGCTTCTTACAGGGGGATGAAAAGTGAAATGTGCGGGCCAGCAGGTGGTGTAGGGGCTAGGGTGCTGGACTCCCACGGTTGACTGCAGTTCAAGTCCCACACCTGGCAGTTTGAAAATCACCCTGGGCACTGTGCTTGCGTGCCCAAAAGAATGGAAGAGAAGGGACTGGGGGGCTGACCATCCCCCCTGGGGGGCTGATTTTTCACTTTTCCTCTCTCTGTCTCTCTCTCTCTGATGAGCGCGTGTACCCTAGGGCAAAACCCTACAAAACAGTGAAATGCTAAGTGTCCCGTTGCCAGTGCAGACGGGCAACTCTGAGTTTGGCCTGAGAACCGCCAAGTTCGCAACCCTCTCTCCTCTTCACCCCGCCCCCTTGGCTCTGGGCTGGTACTCTGCTCCCCAGCTCGCAGCTGACTGAGGTGGGCCCCCTGGACCTAGCTGGAGGTGGCTTGTCCAGTGTCCCCTCCCCAGAGGAGCCACACAGGAGTCTGATAATCACTCCATTATTTGCATTGCTCCATTATTCGCATCGGATTAGGGTCCCCTGGGCCCCAACTCTGAGCTTTTTGTAGGACTGAGGCAGAAGCGGCTTTAATTACAGCTCTCTCCTGCTCCCCACCTCTCAGCCGGCTCCAGCCGGGTTGCGTCATGTCTGTGGGAGCCCCGGGGGAGCCCAGGGACCGAGAGCCAAGGGCTAGTGTAGGGATGGAGGAGGAGGGAGATGTAGGGATGCCGGCAGGGCAGAGCCAGAGGGTTCTGGGATCTCACAGACAGCATCTGTGCAGCTTAGACCTTGAAGGGTGAAGGAAGCTGGGACCCCAGGGTCCCTGAGGGCCAGGCTCCACACTCTCTCCACCTGTGAGGCCAGGATGGGGGTCCCGCCTTGTCTGACTGGGACTCGGAGCTTGGCGCCTCAGGGACATAAAGATTTCTTGAGCCCAGATTGGTGGGATTTAGATCTGGAATCAGAGCTGCCCAGGGCCAACTTCTTCCTTCACTTCTTCCTCCACGTAGCTGATCTTGGGGGGCAGGGGGTTAA